TCGCTACCATCCCTTGCATGGTTTCTCACAAGATTCTCCAGTCGATCCGCCGCGGTTTACCTGCATGTTTACTCGGATTTACTTCCTACTCTATTTCATTAAAATACTTTTCATTTATTCAAGTAAAAACCGCTAGCATACTTTTTTTAAAACATTTTTAGTATCAATAATAATCACTACCATAGAAATAAAAAAAGGAAACAAAATAATTAATAATAAAATAATAATAATTATACATTAAATATTGTCAATAAAATTAATACTTAATAGTAATTTTTCGAAAAATTTTGTAATTATTTTTAAAATATTAATAAGGTAGTATACAAACGTCAACAGGAAATGTAAAATTGATTTTTATTATTTTGAGTAGAAAAAAGGAAGTTATTTTATTCTTTTTTTTACAATTATCTTTTTCAATGCAATAGAACCTGTGTCGGAATAGGAAGTCGATTTTTATAATTTTTTACATTAAATATTGTCTAATAAGAGTGTTATCACTTCCTAGAATAGTGTAAAAATATATTATGAACGTCAATTATATATGATAATTTTTTTAAAACCTTGTTTTTACTGTTGGCAAAATTTAAAAAAATTAAATTACATTCCAGGTTCTATACTTTACGTATAAATTTTTCTATTTGGAAATAACGACTAAAAATAAATCTCCGAAAAAATTAGACTCCTCTATTCACCTGTTTTCGTACAATTATTATTGTAATTAAATTAATAGAAAATTAAAATTAATTAATAGAAATTAAATTAAAATTAAATTAAAATTAATTAAATCTAAAAGTTTTTTATTTAACAACCTAAAAAATATATTTGGTTTGGGATTTTGTTGCGTGACTATATGTATAACGTGTGTAAGCGCCGCTGTTGCTCTATGTAGCGATATCTCTGAAATTAATTATATATTATTCAATTATTATATTTAATTTCTTGATAAAAACTTGTTTTTTAAAAATATTTTCTAAAAATGTTTATTAAACATTTTTTTTTTTAAATATTTTTTAAGGACAATTTTAAATAATTTCGAAATAAATCTACGTTTTTCATAAAATCAATCCAATTTGCAGAAATAACTTTTGATATAGAAACTGTTCGATAAAGTGTACTTTATAGAAAATTGAAAATTGAAGGACAAATCAAGTTGAAAACAAAATTCAATGAAAGAAGGAAATAAAAAATTTCTTTATTGAAAGTTTCAAGTTAATTCAAAATTATAGAATATATTAAGCATATTTTAAATTATTTAATTTTTTAATTCCTACTCAAATTTCAGATAGTGTTAATTTAAATTACAAAATTTGTATACACTTTAAAAAAATTCTGAACCTTTGGTACGAAATATTTCTTCAATATAAATATTTTGAAAAATTGAAATAAAAAGCAGGGAAAATTAAATATTTTGAAAGATTATAACTGTTTCTAAATACACGACTATATTAGTACAATAAAATTTTAATTTGAAAAGACAATTAATTTTCTTTCCATTTGAAAATTTGGAATTATAGACACATAAATTTATCATTAAAGTCCAATAGAAATGATAATAATTATTTAATTAGTATCACAATAGTAATAATAATAAATAATAATATAACCTTATAATATAATCATGATTTTTATTTTATCGCCCGTTTGTATAAATAAAAATAAAAACATTAGGTAATAATAGTAAACATTAATTTATAGCTTTGTAAGACTTTTTTTATTTTTGTTTTTGTTGAATTGATACAATTTGATTTATATTAATTAAATTAATTGAACTTCTGGGTCAATCTGATGATATACAAATTGGTTTATAGAAGATTAAACATATACTCGGCTGTGTAACAAATCCTGTAAGTAAATTGAAAATACAGGTGCTGTTAAATTAAAAATTTCAAAATCTTTTTGAAAAAAATTAACTTTTTTCTATTTTGTAAGCAATAAATATAAATATTTATTTGATTATATTCAAGTAAGGAATTATTTTGAATTAATTTTTTTTTTATAATATACATATGTTACTTGTTATGACGTTTTTGAAAACAAAATAAATTGGATGTTAAAAACAAGATTATGTTATAAGGTTTTTTTAAGAACTCGCCGAGAGAGAGAAAAACTATCGTTTATTCTTTCATTTCTTTAAGTTTATTTGCCTCGCGTTCACTTTATTTTTGGCGGAACAATCGATTTTTAGTTTAAAAATTAAAGGAAATCTTATTATGTTATACGGAAGAATTCAGTTTCGGAAAATTCTATTTTTTATTCAATTTGTATTGAAAATTTAGTTATTTTTAAATATTTATGAGAATGGTAATTGAAAAATTAATTTTTTTGAGAAATTGATATAGAAATATTTTATTTTTTTTTGTAAATTAATAATACGAGAAGTTATTGATTATTTGGGATATAAATTTAAAAACTTAAAGATTTATATATTAGAGAGATAGGAATAATTTAGAGAATTGCAGGAATCTATTTTCGCATAGTTGCTTGAAATTTATTGAATAGCTGTCATGGGAAAAGTAAAACCCCATTGAACTTATCAATTTCTCTAATTAAAATGTCCAAATTGATTATATGCGAATAAAATATAATATGCAAAGTAATTTATGATAATTATTCAAAGTTTACATTATTTTTCCTTATTACGCAAATTGTAAATTTAAAAACAAAGAAAATGACTGTCCCTAAAGTTTCAAACGTTTAAATAAACGACGATATTTTTACTGCTTCCTTTAATTTGAATTTTATTATTATAAAATATTGTTTTTTTACAATAGAAGTAAATTATTTTTTAACTGCAATAATTTTCATTTCAGTTTAGTAATTTTTAAAAATATTAAAATACAAAGAATTATTTCGTTCATTTGAATATTTGAAACTTTATGTATAGAGAAACAAGTTTAGAAACACGTTTAATTTACTTTTTTGTTTTTTAATCAGTGCGAGTAATTTTTGAAAATATTTTTATCGAAAAATTAATTCATTATTCATTTGAAAGTTCAGAATTTCGACCTCTAAAAAAAGTGAAAATAATTAATTTATATAATATGGAAATAATTACTAAGTCAAATAAATTTTTATATACTATATAAAATATTTATTTTTTAAGAGAAATATCTTTTATAATTAGATAATCTATTAGTTATTGACTATTATTAAATAAATATTTGCAAGCGAAATATCATTAAATATAATTCTAAATTAAGAATAAAATATGCCAACTTTATTTTTTATTCCTTTAATTTTATTTGCATTTTTTATTGTATAAAAAATTTTATCTCTTTTTTTTATAAAAATTTGATTTGTATGGAAAAATTTTTATTTTTAATTCGAAATACGAGAAAATCTGAATTGATGGTTCTGAGTATTAAAAAGGATAAATAATAAAAAAAGGAAAAAGAAGTAGAATAGTGTGCAACACGTGCTTGCAGTATTATTTACTCGCGAGGTTTGGCTGCGACACGTAATGTCTGTCGATAATAGACAGCTTATTGTGACATTCAGTACTGTTATTCTATGATAGGATTCAGACCATCCTTTTGCCATACCACTGTGACACGATCGTCGGTGCTAACTATGAATAGAAACACATAGACTTGTCCTACAGTTATTGAGAAAGCCTGATCAATTCCGGTGACCTATATTTTATTTTATTGCTCTTTTTTAAATTTTTTTTTAATTTCCTTTTTTTATTTTATTGAATTTTCTTCTTTTTGTATTTACTGAATTTTAAATTCCTTTGTGGGATTAATTAGATTTTTTTATATCTTTCTTTTTAGTGTTTTTTGTTTATTTTTATTTATGATAATTTTTAATTTTTATTTTTGTATTTGTATATTTTTCAGGGTTGCCACTACGCAACCTGGAAAACCTGGAAAAGTCAGGAAATTTGAAAAGGGCAAAAGCGTGGCAACCCTGATTTAAATAACATTTAAAAAAAATGTTATTCTTATTTTTAATTTATTCGCTATTCAATTTTTTGTGGAATAAAATGTATGCACTAAATTCTAAATTTTCTGCTTGTAAAATATCAGGTTTCAGAATATATGTATTTTGTGTTTAATAATTTTTGCAAAAATAAAATTCTCTTATAAACATCTGTATATAATAATTATAACGGCTGTTTTGCATCGTATACACAAATACATTCAATGATTTATAATGCAGTCGTATATTTTGAGTTTGTATATGGATAAGTAAAACAGTTACACCGTTAAAAATAAGACTATAACTTTACACTATAAAGATTGAATTTCGCACCCTTAAAGTTTAAATGATTGATTCGAAACTTTAGGTTGAGTCCACAATAGGCACTTTTCTTAAAACGATGTAGAGGGTATGCATCGCTTTAAGAAAAGTGCCTATTGTGGACTTAACCTAAGGTTTATAAGCAGGGCTGGAAACTTTTGTGCTTTCAATTTAAAGGTACTTTTACAATACATGCAGCAAAGTTATAGCTCATATTAGGCTTTTTCAGTTGTGACGTCAGAGTCGATTTCAGATGTGACGTCAGATAGCTGGAGGGACAACAAACAGACGACGCAATGTAATTCTTATGGGAGAAAAAAATTTTGCATTTTCTTTTCAATGTTTTACAAATTTAATGAATTGTAAACACTTTCTATCTGCATATGTGTGATTTAAGTGAATTCTATAAAATAATTGTAGTGAAATTAACACTTTACACTTCACAGGAACTTGAAAATATGCTAAAATGTATGTTTTTGAGGTTAGAAACGTTTGTTTACCCATATTTTATACATAGAGATAATAGTTGTCAGCAAACGTTTCTAACCTCAAAAACATACATTTTAGCATATTTTCAAGTTCCTGTGAAGTGTAAAGTGTTAATTTCACTACAATTATTTTATAGAATTCACTTAAATCACACATATGTAGATAGAAAGTGTTTAAAATTCATTAAATTTGTAAAACATTGAAAAGAAAATGCAAAATTTTTTTCTCCCATAAGAATTACATTGCGTCGTCTGTTTGTTGTCCCTCCAGCTATCTGACGTCATACTCGAACTCGAAATATCTCGATGTAGTGAAACAGCCTAATTCTGGTGGTGTACGCCTTTGTGCAAAGGCATGGTCTTCCATCAAGTGGAGAAAACCAATTATTGTATAGTAGATAGATCTACCCCATTTTTCAAGTTAATGCGGAAGATTAATTACTCTATTTTCGCGATTGCGCGGAATTTGGTCGAATCGGGAAGCTGTTCTTTTTGAATTATACCGAGTCGAACTAGAGCTAAATTTAAAATGTTTCTTCCAGCGTTCACATCTCTATTCCATGCTATTCTGCAACTGGAGCAATAGGCAGTTCTATTTTTCATTATTTTCATCTTCTGATTACATGTACTGCACATTTTAGTGGTATTAAATTCGTCGACAAAAACAAGACGTAAATTTTTATATTTATCTTGCTCTTCGGCTAATCTTCGTACCACTTTTTTTAATGGCATGCGTACATGACCACGCATCCACGGGGAGATTTTTGGACTGCCTATTGCTATGAGTTGTTTTTCTTCTCTATTTCCTACCAGATAATCGGCAAGATAATCCGTTTCTCGTTGAACAAGCATGTACTTATCCCACCTGAGACGAGCAATTTTCTTATTCTCCATGTTCGGTTGTTGATCGTAGAATGTTCTTAATAAAAATTTAGTACTCGGAATAATAAGTGATGGATCGCGATGATTTACTTTGTCTTTAAATTCGGGAGTATCTAATAAATTTTCGTAATACGTTATCGGATCATTTCCTACTTTATATAGAATCGATCGCCGTTTACATTCCTGAGTTTCGAAACGAAATGTTGCCGTGGGGATTTTAATCGGTTTGTCTTTAGAATTAATATCAAAGTCTTGTTGCATTTCCCTTTCAACCCCACCGAAAGCAAGCTTTAATCCTGGGTCTAGTCCTTTTAAAATTTTATATTTAGTCTTATCGCGCACATCTCCTTGTTCGGTAGGCAAGAAATCAATTATTTTCTTTGGCTTGATAACATTATAAATTACGGAAACGGCAATTCCGTCCGTCATAATTGTCCCTGAAAATTTATACTTCGTTTTATTAACGCGTAATTTCGAGAAATTGAAAAGTTTTTCCCATCTTCGTTCATTTTCCAGATATTTATCTTGATTCCTCTCAGTCACGACTTTTTTGTGAACTTCGGTAATTTTTTTTAATTCACTGTTGATGATGGATAAATCTTCATTTAAAACTTTTAATTTTAATTCCAATTCGGCCAATCTTTTTTTATTGTGGGGATTTTTTTCACTTTTTATTAACTTTATATCTCTCGTCAAAATTTTCTTATCACTCGACAATTTCTTATGCTTTTCTTTTACCGGTGAGATGAGTTTCTTGTGTTCTGCCTCTTGTTTCGAAATTTCGGCTCTCGTCATTTTCTTTGTTGGTTTTTTTTCTCCAGTTTTATTTTGCTTCTTCTTGAAAACAATTTCTAAATCACTCAGTGCAGTATTTGTGTAGCAGATGTACTTTAAACCAGGTTTCATAATAGGCACAAGCATGAAGCCTTTAATTTTTTCATCGATAAAATATTTTTGTAAGCGAATATAAAAAGGGAGAAATTTGTGACACTCATCCTTACTTGTCATGTCTCCAAAGTTCAATTTCTCCAAATTCATTTGATTTAATTTTTCACTTTCGCATTTATTTAAAAGAAGATTGTCAATTAAGGTTTTAATTGTGTAACCTTCTTTTTCTTTTTCCTCTTCCTCCTCCGCTATGTCTTTTTCGATTGTTGCAGATGTTGTATCGCTTGTTTCATTTTCAGGTGTTTTTTCCTTCGGTAGATTCCTGCACGGTTTGTTTTTGGGTGTTGTCTTTGGTGGTTTCTTTGGTGGTTGAATTCTCGGCTTCTTGGAAGATTTCTTCTTGCCTCGATTCCTTCCAATAGTTTTTCTTGCGTCATAGACAATTTTCCTCAGATCAACATTACGTGATTTCTGTTCCGTTTTCGATTGAATGTTTATTAATTTGTCCCTCATTTTTTTATTATTTGGATACAAATTTCTACATTTATTGTGTTTTTCAATTCTCTTCTGTCTTCCAGATTTTCTTTTCATCCTCTTCTTCTTGTCCCATTTAATTCGTTTCTTCTTATTTTTTCTTGCACGTTTCCTTTTTTCTTCTTTTCGCTTCATGTCCCTCTCTTCAATGGATTTTTCGTCAATGACTCTGGATTTTCTCTCCTTGTAGCTGGGTGATTTTTTAAGCAGTTCATTTTTAAAAAATTTGGCGAGTCGATTTCTACAGTGAGTAGTGAGATTTGTAGTGAAATTAGTATTCATTTGTGCAGCCATTTGTTGCACTTGGGAAGTTAAGTTAGTGCAATCAAATTTTTCGAATGGTCGCCCCATATATTCTGAAAATTCAGGAACAAATTCTTCTCGCAACTTCTTAAGAAATGCATTCTTTGTTGATTTAACAGGTTCCTTCTCTTTGAATAAATATGTAATTGTTAAGTAATCGGGGCCATTCTTAGACCATTCGTCAAGAAGAAAAGTATTTGTAGGATGTCTAAGGGCAAAATTGACAAATAGAGATATCAAGATGAACATACGTGATAACATTTGTACTTGATCATTCACAATTGTACGAATTTGTTCATTTGGGCAGAAAGATTCGAATCCAGTCTTTATGGTAAATTTAGTTTGTTGTTGTTTTTCTTTCCTGGATGTAGATTTTGTTGTTTTCTTCATATTTGATGGTGTCGCTAATGGCTCGGGGATTTTGAATGTCGAATCTTTCTCTTCCTGTAAATTGAGACTTTGCAAATAGTCGTTTTCATCAGCTTGACGACTCGTGCTGGGTATCGGAGATAATGATTTTTTCTTCTTAAGAGGAGTTTTTCTTCCTAATTTCTGTTCCTTTGATGTTGACTGTTGGCTGAAAACATCTTCAACTAGTTTCTCTTCTTTTAAATTCAGCTTGTATCTTTTTTTCGGCGTAGGACTAGATGTTGTTTCTTCCTCTTCATTATCAATATCCATCGGTGTACTGCTGTCCTTGAATGATGATGATGACACGATGTTCATCAGTCCCAAATTACGCTGCCATGATAACGTTGTATCATCATCAAAATCATGTTCCTTCGACTTGCAATAATCTACTCCACTTCCTACAGACATTCGTGTGTTCTCATCGAAAAATTGGAACTTTTCTATTTGAACGTTGGATGGAATTTCATCGAGCGACACTTCTTCTTCAGTAATTCCGCTAGTAGACGAAAAAGCTTCTTCCATGGATGTTGGGTCAAATAATGGACGACGCACTCTACCTTCATTACTTTCAAAAGGTAATACAGGGATAAAAGGACTAGACACTGTTCTTTGAATTCTTGGACTTGTCTGTTGAGGGGGACGATTTTCCAATTCTACTGGTCGGTTAGACGATAAATTGAACTGCGGTAACGGGTTACTAGACGGTAATACTTGTATAAAAGGACGTGATACCGCACGTCGATGAAAATTATTCAATTCTTCTACGCGACGAATTTCATTTTCATGTCGAGATGGGGGAGATCTATCACTATTTACATTATCATTTTTCTTTTCCATTTTAAAAATGAATATTTAACTTAAATCCGTAAATATTCGCAATCCGTAGAACGTAGTGTCCAGGTGATTTTCTTAAAATACTCTTCTTCCTCGGTGAATCGTTTGCAGTGGAGGTTTCGACAGTGCGCTGCAGTGATGGTTCGATCCTTCCCGTGTAAGACACTGGAGCAATGTGATTGTAGAATCAGCAAGTCGACAATTTTCAACTAGAAAGGCTCTGTAACAAATTAAAAAAAAAGATTTTATTAGAAAAGATATTCTTAGATAACAAATTTTGTATTTGTAAATGTAGCAAGATGTCAAGAAACATTTAAAATGCATTTATAGTAATATAAAATATGTTCACCTTTTGCAAAGAAGGCTCGGACGTTGAAGAAAGACACGAATGAATTTCCTTGTAGAGCTATTTAATCAAGCTCGACGAGAGCACCGTTGCAGTGGAGGTTTCGTAGATTGATCCTTCCTGTGTAAGACACTGAAGGAAAGCGATTGTAGAATTAGCAACTCGACAATTTTCGACTAGAAAGGCTCTGTAACATATTTTTAAAAAAAATTTTATTAGAAAAGATATTCTTAGATAACAAATTTTGTATTTGTAAATATAGCAAGATGTCAAGAAACATTTAAAATGCATTTATAGTAATAAAAAATATGTTCACCTTTTGCAAAGAAGGCTCGGACGTTGAAGAAAGACACGAATGAATTTCTTTGTAGAGCTATTAATCAAGCTCGACTAGAGCACCGTTGCAGTGGAGGTTTCGTAGATAGATCCTTCCTGTGTAAGACACTGGAGGAAAGCGATTGTAGAATTAGCAACTCGACAATTTTCGACTAGAAAGGCTCTGTAACAAATTTTTAAAAAAAATTTTATTAGAAAAGATATTCTTAGATAACAAATTTTGTATTTGTAAATGTAGCAAGATGTCAAGAAACATTTAAAATGCATTTATAGTAATATAAAATATGTTCACCTTTTGCAAAGAAGGCAAAAGAATGAATTCCTTTGTAGAGCTTAAAATCAAGCTCGACTAGAGCACCGTTGCAGTGGAGGTTTTGTAGATAGATCCTTTCCGTGTAAGACACTGGATGAAAGCGATTGTAGAATTAGCAACTCGACAATTTTCGACTAGAAAGGCTCTGTAACATATTTTTTAAAAAAAATTTTATTAGAAAAGATATTCTTAGATAACAAATTTTGTATTTGTAAATATTGCAAGATGTCAAGAAACATTTAAAATGCATTTATAGTAATATAAAATATGTTCACCTTTTGCAAAGAAGGCTCGGACGTTGAAGAAAGACACGAATGAATTTCCTTGTAGAGCTATTTAATCAAGCTCGACGAGAGCACCGTTGCAGTGGAGGTTTTGTAGACAGATCCTTCCCGTGTAAGGCACTGGAGGAAAGTGATAGCTCTCAGTGTGCGTGTGCTCGTTTTATACAAGTAGCACGGACGTTGACGAAAGGCTTGTGCGAGACGACTAAATTTCCTTGACGAGCGCCAACTCAAGCTCGACAAGAGCACCTTCGCCGTGGAGGTTTCGTCAGTGCGCGGGCACTGTTGTTAACGTCCTTCTCGTGTAAGACACTGGAGGCAAGTGAAGCTCCCAGTGTGCGTGCGCTACTTTTATACTAGTGCACGGACGTTGTAGAAAGGCTTGTGCGAGACGACCGAATTTCCTTGCTGACAGCCAACTCAAGCTCGACAAGAGCACCTTCGCCGTGGAGGTTTTGTCAGTGCGCGGGCACTGTTGTTAACGTCCTTCTCGTGTAAGACACTGGAGGCAAGTGAAGCTCCCAGTGTGCGTGCGCTACTTTTATACTAGTGCACGGACGTTGTAGAAAGGCTTGTGCGAGACGACCGAATTTCCTTGCTGACAGCCAACTCAAGCTCGACAAGAGCACCTTCGCTCTCGAGGTATTGTCAGTGCGTTGGGCACTGTTGGAGAGATCCTTCCCGTGTAAGACACTGGAGGCAAGTGAAGCTCCCAGTGTGCGTGTGCTACTTTTATACAAGTAGCACGGACGTTGAAGAAAGGCTTGTGCGAGACGACCAAATTTCCTTGCTGACAGCCAACTCAAGCTCGACAAGAGCACCTTCGCTCTCGAGGTATTGTCAGTGCGTTGGGCACTGTTGGAGAAATCCTTCCCGTGTAAGACACTGGAGGCAAGTGAAGCTCCCAGTGTGCGTCTGCTACTTTTATACAAGCGCACGGACGTTGAAGAAAGGCTTGTGCTAGACGACCGAATTTCCTTGGTGAGAGCCAACTCAAGCTCGACAGCAGCACCGTCGCCGTCGAGGTCTTGTCAGTGCGCTGCGCTGATGGTATGGTCCTTCCTGTGTAAGACACTGGAGGCAAGTGAAGCTCCCAGTGTGCGTCTGCTACTTTTATACTAGCGCACGGACGTTGAAGGAAGACCCCACTGCGTGGTTGGAATTACTCCTCACTTTCATGCTTAGCAATAGCTTTCTCTCTCTCTCTATCTCTTGGCGCGTCAAAGTGTTGCTAAGCATGAGAGTGTTGTGTCAGCTTAAGGTTTTTACAGAGAAAACTCTGAATTGTGAAAAATTGCTGCGTTGAAGAATGCACCTTAATACCCCCATCACATCTTTTTTTTGGAAACTGCAAAAGTTCTACGTACTATGTTCTCAACCCTGAACTTAAGAGACTAGTTTCTCAGCCGTGATAACGTTAATCAAAACAAACCGGGTATTTAAATGTGACATTTTTAATAAAATAATAAATAATTAATAGAAGAAATTGAACATAATAATTGTAACAATTAGAGCAAGAGAGTATAATATCTGTTTACATTATATCGAATTTATTCCTCGGTAAGTTAGGTAATAAAATTGCGACTTGAACGCAATATTTTTTCCGATTTCCCGATTTTCGGAACCAATATTTATTTCAATATAAAATATATTTTGAAATAATAATTCAATTTATTTTATTTTAAAGATTGTAAATTACTCAAAAAAATTTTGATTAAAGATGAAAAAATGAATTTCCAAGTTTTATTATTAGAGCTAAAGGATAAATATGCCCAAGTGAGAAAACTACTATATTCTGACGATAAAATAATAAATGAGACAACACAATATAAAATCAAATATGCAGCAATTGAAATTTTAAAAGAAATGCAAAGTTCTCTTTTGAAAACCTCCATCAATTTATTTAAAGTCTATAAAAGTCAGTTTTAAAAAAAAAACCGTAAATTGTACGATATGATTTAGAGAATTTTTCAGAAGTTACAAATGATTGCAGAATTTTAATTATTTTTAAAAGTAATTAATTCTTCGCAGAAATTAAATTATGTTTCAAAATTTTGGAAGATTCTGGTCAAAATTAAATTTTGTTTCAAATTAAAGATCTTGAGAATGTTTTGGGTTTTGGGGAAAAAAAGCATACACCCGCTTCATTTGTTCTTAATAAATATATTATTTAGAATTTGACTATAAAAAATGTCAATAATTATTCAAAATCTTTTTCAATCACACTGTGCGAGATTGAAAAAACATCGTTTCAATCTCTTTGGTGTAAAGTTGTAGTTCGATTTTTAACAGTTACGTAAATGGTTTTTTGTTTTTTGTATCTCTTAAGCTGCGCACAAATATGGTATATACTCTTAAACATAATTCTTTACTGCTCAAGAAATTTTTATTTTTATAGCAGCAAAAAAACTTGAAACATTAAAAATAATAATTTTCTTTAGTAATTTATTTAACATAATAATTGTTCAAAATCTGAATTTAGTGGGTAAAATAATTTTTTTTAAAACTATAAATAAAATTCGCTACTTTGAGTCACTTATCGGTTCTCGATGAATTCTATAAATATTTGTATTTATATAAATTGATATATTGAAAGAAAAATTGAAAATATGATTTATAAACTCGAAAGTTATTTCCTTTTACCGAAAAGAAAAATAAACATATTAGTCGTGTCGGTTTCTACTTTCCAAATCGAGTTTTAGCTAGTCGGTGATGATATTCTTCTTCTTTTTCTTTTGAAAAATTGACTCTAATTTATAGTCGGTGCGGGTGATTTTTTTCGATTTCCGGAGATAGTCATTAACCTGTTGACGTGTTTCACAAGCTAGTGGAAAGAAAATTTTCTTAATTGAAAAAAATAAAAAGTGTTTAACGAGAATAAATGTTTATTTTGTCCTATAGGAAACTTTTAACTGAAGATTACTATGACTTTAATTTAAAATTGTTTTCGTGTTTTTTAATTACTTATAAGAAAGCAAGAAAGTAAGACATTGTTTTTATAAAAGAAAAGAAGTTTGCAAAATGTTTGCCGCCATGGTGCTTCATAAGCATTATAAGAACTATAATAATCATCATCATGCAAGCAATAATAATTCTGTCAGTGTTTGTAATAACATCAATAATAATAATCATATAAACAATAATAATATTAATAACAACAACCGATCTCTCAATTCTAAAGAGGTAAGATTATTTTCAATATCAATTATTTAACATAAAATTTTTATACAATTTTTCACAATAATTCAAATACTTTCACTAATAATAACTTTTTTCATGATAATTCAATAAAAAAAAAAAAATGATGATGATAAAATTCTCAACAAGAATTCAATTATTTTCATAAATAATGAAATTCTTCTCAGGAATTCAATTATTTTTGAAAATTTTAATAAAATTCTTAGCAACTATTCAGTTATTTTCATAAATAATCAAATACATCGCAGGATTTCAATTATTTTTAATACAATTTTACAGAAATTGCTCAAAAAATGTAATTATTCTTAAAAATTAATTTCAATTCCTCGAAAAAATCAATTATTGAAAAAAATTTTTTTTTTAAATTCTTTGGGAAAATTCAATTATTTAGGTACAAAAATATTACAATTTTTAACAGGAATTCAATTATTTTCAAATATTTTAATAAAATTGTTCGCAAGAAATCAATTATTTCAAATACAATTTTAATTACATTTTTAAAAATAATTTAATTATTCTTTTAGATTTTAATAAAATTCATCCCAAGAATTCAATTATTTACATAAATAATTCTTCGAAAGAATTCAATTATTGAAGATAAATAACAAAATTATTCCTCGAAAATTCAATTATTTTGAGGCATTTGAATAAAATTATTTGAAAAATTCAATTATTTTCATAAATAACAGTATTCATCACAAGAATTCAATTATTTTTAAAAGTAATAAATTTCTTCTTGGAAATTCAATTATTTAAAAAAATTCTATTAAAATCGTTCGCAAGAATTTAATTATTTTCAAAAAAATGTAATAAAATACCACATAGACATTCAATTATTGTCAAAAATTTTAATAGACTTTATTTAATTATATTTTTAAAAACTTTTTTAAATTCAATGATTTTCAATATTTGTTATTTTTATAAAATTTCCAAACAGAATTCAATTATTTAACAATTTTTTTTGTAAATATCTTGGTAAGAATTCAATTTTTTTCATGAATAATAAAAATTTCTCAGGAATTTAATTATTTAAATTAGAATTTTCATAAAATTAGTCGAAAGGAATCAATTATTTAAAAATTGTTATAAAATTTTTCGCCAGAATTAAATCATTTTTATATAAATATTTAAATTCTTTGCAGGAATTCAATTTTTTGCTATAGATAGGATAAGAGAGAAGTAAATATTTTTTGATGAAAATTAGGAAAAATTTATGAAAATAAAAAATATGGAATGGAATTTTTGTTAGTTTTGTGAAGTGTATAAAACGATTTTTTTTTTTTTGGTCGTCAAGTTTAATTTTTCGATAGTTACTTTTTTTACTACTTTTTGCTACTTTTTTAAAGTTAATTATCAAGTGCGATGTTTATCCCATCATTTCTGAATAAGTTTAATTTTCTTGTAGGTTTTTCTATTTTGGGACGTACATTATTATTTATTTTCATTGATCTTGACTAACTTTAACATGCGTAAATAAAAGTGGAATATTTCTTAAATTTAGAATCTCTTTTTCTTATCATTAATTATGTGCTTATAATTAATTGTTTTTGGGAAAATGTATGGACTCTAGAGGATTGAAGGAGATTGAGCTTTTAAACCTGCGAGAGAAGGTGAGAGAGAGGGATTTAGAATTTAAATGAATTAGTATAAAGGTATAGTTGATCTTTAAACCGGATCTCACCTCGTAGGAAATTCATGCAAATGAAGGTACCAGATTAAATTCCTTGTGCCTTCGTTTCTCTATGACGGCGGAGATGCTTGAGAAAAGATGATTCCTTTTATATATTTATACCCATTTGCAAGTAATTGACAAGATATTTGCGGAAAAAAGTTTCTTTCTTCTTTTAATGCTGTACTTACTAAAATTTTAAACCTAAATCCGAAAAAGCATCAAGTGATGATTGTTGGTCTACATAATTTCGAATATCTTCAATTTTCGAAAATCTTGAATCGATTTTTGACCCTGATGGCTGTTTCGTACTGTTTGGAAAAAATTTCGTACAACTCACTAATTTGAAGTAAAATTTTGATGCTAGGAACAGTAAAATATCTTCAATGTCATTTCCTTAAAAATAAAAAATTTATTTACAATGTACCGAATGTAATTTGGTATACAATCAATGGCATCTTGTTATATTTATCCAGGCGATGTTATATGGCATTATTTAATAATTCCAGTTCAGAAACCTAATGGGATATTAAGGACGTGAATTGGCACAAAACGTTGCTGTAATATTAATAATCATCGGGCATTGCTAATCGAAACAATATTTCACTTGTGTAATAATACGAAATCATATTACACGGATAAATATATGTGCTTATTTTTCTGGAAAATTATAGCTTACGTAAATTCTTCCGCATTATAATGCACTTTTGTGTTTGTATATACATATGCTTCCTGTGAGGTCAATAACAGGAAAAAGTTGGTCAATTACTACCGGCGAGGATTGAATGTGTGAATGACATGATATGTAATGTACAATCTCTTCCTCTCTGACACTATATACATCCTCTATAGATAATGTATTTTATTTTTCGTCTTTTCAAAATAACGATCACTAATTATTTCTGTTTGTAGTGGAACGAAGTTTTGGTGTAACTTTGCTTGCTTTGCCTGCTTTACCTGGGACGTGATCTAATCATAAACAAAGTTTAATGAAATTTGCGGTGCAGTATGGACCCAAGTTTATCGTATCGAAAATAATATTAGTGGTTTGGTCTCTCAGAATTGTGGAGTATGATGTCTTTTGCACTGTTGTGACCTCGTCAAATGCCAAAGCGACATTTGAAAGGGACTTTTCTTTTAATACCAACAACTTTCAATTTTATTCAATCCTACAATATACACGAGACAGAAAATGATTTTAGCTTGATTTTAGGATT